TTTGTCATGTGCCATGAATATTAAATAAAAAAAATTCACTTTGTTTTCTTGCCCATCCTTTCGATATCTGACAAGATACAATGATACAGTTCTATACAATGCAACACATTAATAACAGCACTGCTGGCCCATGTTGTTACCTTAATAATTAGGCTAGCTGTAGCGATAGCTGTTCGGATCACACGGATCCTGATGTCCTGATAAACATGGCGTCCGTGCTATTGATTGCGTTGTGTGATATTTGTTGAGCTGGCTATATTTTATGTTTTATTCCTGTTTGAATTATAACGTTTCTATATGGAGGCTAATGCGAGTTTTTCCACTGCCACATATATTCCCCACAGACTGGCATTCCCAGACCATTACCGCAAATGTGGCTGTCTAATAAGGCTGAGTGTTTCTACCGGCACCCAGATATACAAACACAATCATCGCAGGTTACGGGTAGCCCGCACTGCTGCCTGAGATGGCCAGTGTGACAAGACAATTGTTGGGGAGTTATAAGTTAATATTGAAAGAGATTGAATTACATAATTAGATGTTCAGGAGGTCAGGGTTTCTACCTTAACCAATGATATATCAGACAAACATGACCAGCACTCCAATGTACCTGAAATAATCTGATGGCCAATCCAAGGCCATTTTATAGTGTCGCCTGCGATAAGCTGGTGACACATATAGGTATTGCTATGTCGGAGTCGTCCGCACAGAGGTTTTCGTGTGATAACTTGAGTTTCCTTGGGCCAATCAAACTCAAACTTCATGCAGTGCTTCCTTACCAAAAGAGCTTGCTTGGGATTGCTTTTCAGGTCCGAAGGTCAAAGGTCAAGGTCACTGTTACTATAAATAGAAAGTCTGGTGTCCTCCGATAACTTGAGTTTCCTTGGGCTGATCAAACTCAAACTTCATGCAGTGCTTCCTTACCATAAGTGCTTGCTTGGGATTGCTTTTCAGGTCCGAAGGTCAAAGGTCAAGGTCACTGTTACTATAAATAGAAAGTCTGTTGTCCTCCGATAACTTGAGTTTCCTTGGGCTGATCAAACTCAAACTTCATGCAGTGCTTCCTTACCAAAAGTGCTTGCTAATCTATGACTATTGCTTACTTTTAACATTATTTCTTGAAATGAAAAGTGTATCTATTTCTTCATAATCTCCCAGCTTCCTGCACAGGTGACACATCCACTTCCGTGGAATTCTTGTCTCTGTATATAATCAAACCATCTCCACACCTCATCCCTAAGGTTTTTTAACATCCCGGGGTCCTTACACCTGAACCAGCTAGAAAACAAAATGCAAGAACTTCTTACAACTGAAACAATTAGACGTCAAATGGCAGTGGTCTGTACACTTGTACCAGTTAAATGACCAATGCCCAGACCTCCTTACACCTGATGAGCAAGTCAGATTACCAATGTCAGACATACAATGTACCAGTCACTGTTGACCAAAAGAATGCAATGCCATCCTTGCTTTAATGAAAGCAGGGGTATATAGTATTTGTCTTGAGCATGCATGTATAATTACAGTGGGCCATCACAGTTTCTAGTGCATATGCTATCTTGGCCATTGTTTTATCTATGAATATTGTATATGTAATGTAATAACATAATGATAACATGCTGTGTCACATACCAAAATAGGAACGTCGTGATCTCCTTCAACGTTTAGACCTGAATTAACTTAGTCACCTGAATGTTATTTATACATTGTGATTAGTTTCACATATTTTCTACATCTGTCACATGTTTGCCATCTGCCTCACAAATTGTTATCAGGATATCTCAGAACTGTTCAACCATGCGGCTTAATGTTATCTGTTGGTGTGAAAATTTACATTATTCAGGGACGGGTCAAATAAAACAGGAACTTCCATTGTTATAGCTTTTGTCGTATTCGTCAAATAATGACCTCCGTTACAAAGTCAAGGTTAACCAGTGTTGTTATGTTAAACCCTAGTTGTCATTGGTTAGATACAGGTTGTCAAGGTTACACTTCTGTTGTTGGTCAGATGTATGGCACTAAGATACGTTGAGCACTGCTACTTACCTTGATCTGTTGTCATTTGTTACATATAGATAATATATACAGTATTTGATATAGTGCCCTATCTAGCTAACCTAAGCCACTCTAAAGCGCTTTACAGTACATTCTAAGATATACAATTAATACAATTAGCATATATGTTAATCAATACAATTTTGAGGAATTCGCAGGAGCTGCCTTATCGGGCGCTAACTACTAGTCCTATGCCACCTGGCTAATATCTCCCTATGTGTGTATGCCTTAAGACTCCTTAGACTTCTGTTGTTATATGTTAAACCTATATTGTCAGGTGAAAGCAGTCTATTTTTATTGAAACATATATGCATCTTGTAATGGTCAGGCATTGTTAATGTTGTCAAGGTAAAAATCTCAGTTGTCATTGGTTAGATACATGTTGTCAATGTAAGGCCACTGTTGTTATGTTAATTAAACCTCAGTTGTCATTGGTTAGATACATGTTGTCAATGTTAGGCCACTGTTGCTATGTTAATTAAACCTCAGTTGTCATTGGTTAGATACATGTTGTCAATGTAAGGCCACTGTTGCTATGTTAATTAAATCTCAATTGTCATTTGTTAGATACATGTTGTCAATGTAAGGCCACTGTTGCTATGTTAATTAAACCTCAGTTGTCATTGGTTAGATACAGGTTGTCAAGGTTTGGCACTGATGTTAATGTTAGACCTATGTTGTTAGGTGAGACCAGTCTGTTGTCATGGTGAGACCAGCTCTGTTGTCAATACCTGCAGATACATGATGTTGTCAATAGCTATACCTTGGGGTAGGAGTCCGTTTTGGTCAGTTGTCAAAGTTAAGACCTCTGTTTTCAACTCCCAGACCATTTGTTGTCAATGGCTGTACCTCCTTTGTTATGTATTTGTCCAAAAGCTTGTTGTTGACTTTCCAACCTTAAGCTTATCACTACAGATGTATCCTTGGGTTACCCCTATAAAATCATAGCTCTGTAATAAACATCGAAATATACATCCTTCAGTGTGGTTTTGACCTTTTGTCTGGGAGTCAACCAGTGCTTTGTAAGGCTTGAGCCATTCTATAAAATTTCAATGACAATGAAGTTGTGACTTACTGCTGGTACAATTTTTGTAAAGCTTAAATACTGTGCTATGGTCATGAATAGGTGATCACATGAACAGAACACTCTCTTTAGTAAAATGCTTCCTCGCCATGAGTGCATGTAGGTCTATATATATATATATATGAGCCCAATTTCTGTCTGCACCCCTTCACCACATATTTAAAATTTGAAACTAGATTGTATAATGTGATGTTACACTGACTGTATACAATATGGGTAATGTTTCCCAGTCTGTTTACATGGCCTTGAAAGGGGAACTTGTTTATAGTTTTGATCGTGTAATGCATATATAATTTAATAAAATTAGAAAATGACGCAGTTTAGATTCAAGTTTTTATCAAACATAAGCATGGAGTGAACTGTCTGGTGATATCATGTGTGACATGCATGATATATAGTGTTTGATATGGATGAGAGGATCGTACATTTCATGCCTACTGAACTTGTCCATTTTTGTTTGTGCATATTTGTCCTATATAATACTGCCATACATAATTAATGCTCATAGGTTTAAGGTTCATTACCAGTGTATGAAGTGTCTTCCTAATTCTTTAGGAAGAACATATTTACAAGTACTTGTACAATACCTAGCAATTACCTGTTGTATACCAGTCCAGATATTGAATTTAAACAGTTTGCTGGCTGAATATTTGGATTGCCTTAAGCCTGTACTAGACAGTCATGCCTGGCTGTGTAATCTCAACAGTTAGTATAATTGTGGGTCTTAAAGATTCAGGTACGAAACCTCATGTTTTAGGTGTCTAGACTCCCACACAGGTACATGACCTATCCTAGTTCATCTCATACATACAATGTATTTGAAATACAGTTCAGTTTATAACCTTCCCTACAGTTATGTGTTTCCAAAAAGGTCTATCGACTTTGTCCTGGTTCATCAGTTACTCTATATGATAAAATAATTCTGTGACTTGTCACGAAACCTAATAGTTCTCAAGTTAAACCGGAAGTCAAAAGCATTATTGAAACCTCAATCGGTGAACCCCATTGATAAAAATCTATTTTGTAAATCTGCCACCAATTTAAAAAGCTTGTAACAGAAATGACCTATCAACCCACCAGTGATAAAATTTAAATTTAAAGATTATCTTGTGCGATACTGCAGTTTAAAACTTACAAAGGTTGTGTTAGATATTCAATCTTAAACTCTTGTATAAACAGGAAGTGTGCTGGGTTTGTTCAATATTTGAACAGCTTGAAGTGTGAGTAGAATGACAAATCAGTCTGTCGGAGCACTATATTCAGTGGGACAAAAAAAGCTACGCAGACTCATAGGAGATATTGAAAGGACATATTTGTTTATCATGCATACATCATGAGTGATTTAGGTTATCTATTGATCAGTTTTGTCTTTTTGTATGAAATTTTGTATTAAATCTAAGGGAGGCTTCTCTAAATTGTTCAGATCAATGTGGGGTGTACCTCCTTAAAAAAGAATCTGCCTTCTGTTAACATTTGGTTCAAGTACAATAAATGTATCTTTAAAAGAGGGCAGACCAGCCTATAATTCTGTCAATACTACATGTGTATGCGTGTTTATTAAGAGCCCAGCCTTCCTGCTACTTTTGTAGGCCCTATATTGAAATCAGCTTTAGCTTTCTGCCAATAAAATTAGTATTTTAAGCCAAGTGGTCTCTCATATGATTGCATTAGTTCACTAGAGAAACATTCGATTGTCATAAAGATCTGGAAGAATTTGGACCGAAGTAAAAAACATGTAGGATCAACAGATCTGTAATGTTTTAGAATAATGTGCTTTTGATGCAAAATAGCATGGAGCAGTTCCATTGTAACCATGCATACTTAGGGTAGACACTAATTAATATTACATCTATGCTTACAGCACTGGCTGGACCCCCTGAAGTCGGTCTACAAACAACTTAAAGGTGAGGTCCTGAATATTTTAAGTTTCTCTTGTGTATATATATATTGTTTTCCGATTTACACAATAATGTGAAGACAATTTAGAATGTCTGTATACTTAAATACACTGACAAATCAAGATTCTCTGTCAATTTGCAAATATAAAGCAGTTATGTTTGTAATATTTAACATTATATTTTGCTATATTCAGGTGTTAACCCTACAGTCCTCTGCTTCCGAGTCAAATTCTACCCTGCTGATCCCATGAAGTTACGAGAGGAAATTACGAGGTAGGAGTTTACGGCGTCCATTTCAATTCTGAAAAATATGCCGCCTTATTGCACTGATGAAAAATTTGCTCGACTTATTGTTACGGTAAAAATATGCCGCCTTATTGGACTGATAAAAAATTTGCTTGACTTTTTGTTACGGTAAAAATATGCCGCCTTATTGCACTGATGAAAAATTTGCTTGACTTATTGTTACGGTAAAAATATGCTGCCTTATTGCACCGATGAAAAATTTAAATTGCTGACGTATTGCGGCAATGAAAGTTTTGTTGGCTAATTATTGTTACGGTAAAAATATGGTGGCTTTTCGTAATACTGAAATATTTTCCATGTTATTTTGACATTGATAATGTAACAGGATCAAGTGAAATTATGTGATGAAAATAGATATTTAGACAGATCAATGATGATACTCAAGGTGAGATATAATTACCCCTATTATACAAAAATAATAACAACAATCCTTTATTCAGACAGATGATATCAGATTTGGTATTAAACATTTATTTGGCCATTTAAATGCTGACAGATTTATTCCAGCTAATTTCATGATTGTCAAAACTTGATCGAAAACTTCTGAGGTTTTACTAAACATTCATGACATAGTCTTGTGCCTTGATTAATATTTGTAACTATAATACACTTATAAGTTATAAAGCTGTAACTACCAGGGTAAATATTTTTGAAAAGAAGAGCTCCAGGTTTTCTATATATTTCAATGAAATACCGTATTTTGCTCTTTTTCAATTACACCTAGCTCATATTTCTATACAGAAACTGATCAATCCTCAAAACAAACCCAAGACTTCCTGAAAAAATGAGAAATGAGGTTAACCCTTTCACAACTGTAGTCCGTAATAGACTCATCCAGATCTAGATCAATGCATGGTAGAGTCTACTAATATAAAGTTACATAGGGGTGAAAGGGTTAAGAAAAGAAAGGTATCTGTTGTTGGCCACTGAAGCATATAAGTGGGTATATACCCCTCCTTTGTCAGAGCTAATTTAGTGTCTGTATGCCATACATATAAATACTTGATATCATTTTCCTTCTGTTTAGCACCCCACAGAACAATCTTGTTGATTATCGATACAAATTAAAGCTAGCTGTGTATGACACTAGCATTTTATTCTAATGAGCACATTCTTTACATGAGGAAGGAAAAGACGGCCAACCCTCCTAAAAGTTGTTTTATCATTGTTGTTCATGTGACGTGTTTTTTTGGTGAAGACTTTAATTGATTATTTTCACGTTTCACTTAATTAACCTTCTGAGGTTGTATGTGTTTTGTAAAATCAATAAAGGCGAAGAGTATGGCTGAGTGTTAGGTTTTAATTAGGGTTTCTTTCGTTGGCTTATTTTCAAAAGTGATCATTAAAATTTCTGTGATATTTTTCATTTGTGCATCAATCTGTCGTGGCTGACAGACAAAGGTGGCACACCTCACAATCATACAATTAAATTACTATCATCATAGGCAGGAAAATTAACACTACTGTGATTATACAGAAAACGTAAATGTGGGGACGTGCCAAGATATTGAGCGGTAACAGAGTAAAACACACCAGTAAGCTACCGAGGTGTTTCATCAAGAAGCAATTGAATGTTTCCATCAAGAATTTTTGATGATGGAAAAAAATTTAAAAAAATACTTTCACTGAAAAGAGATGTGCATTTCATCAGACCATTTAATAAGAATTCACTTGAAAAAGGTAGCATTTAATCACAAAATTGTAATATTTTAATACCAGACTTTGATGGGCTTAAATTGGCAAAAACATATTGTTACAGTTAGTATTTGATCAAGAGAAGTTACATACAAGTTATGCATTAATGGAACTAAGATATTCAAAAAACATTATCTAATGCCTATAATGAATGTCACCCTGGTAAAACACTAGCCGCCTCCTACCGACTCGGCAAGGGTGATCTTCTCTTTAGGTCATTCGGTAGAGCGCAAGACTAGTAAACCAGAGGTCCGGGGTTCGACTCCTGGCAGAGGCATTAAAAAGATAATGACCTCTGTTACATTAGCGCCCACATCAGGGACCCGGGAGATTTGGCAAAATACTCAGCAATACATGCAAAGGAATCGCTAGCTATGACCCCTAGAAAATTCTAGATGAGTTCTTTCCTGGAGGGGGAGTATGTCACCCTGGTAAAACACTAGCTGCCTCCTACCAACTTGGCTAGGGAGATCTTCTCTTTAGGTCATTCGGTAGATCAAAAGACCAGTAAACCAGAGGTTCGACTGGCAGAAGCATTGAAAAAAATAATGACCTGTTACATAAAATACATAATCTCTAATGAAAATAAGGTATGTCAAGTATAATGCAGCCAAGCATACATCCTTCCATGGACTAAGTTTTTGTTACACATTTCCTACACCTAGAAATTGTCCTGAGATTGATCAAAATATAATATAATAACAACACTGATGTTTCAACCTTGCTCTATTTACCTACAGGTACTACCTGTTCCTCCAGCTGCGAAGAGACCTCCATCATGGCCGACTGTTGTGTTCACCTGCTGATGCCAATCTGTTGGCAGCCTACATCATACAATGTAAGTCTGGAACAGGGTTTGGCAGGGGCCGATAGATTAGGGGTAAGACTGGGGTGTGGAGGATTTGACAGGGGCCGATAGATTATGGGTAAGACTGGGGTGGGGGAGGAGTTGACAGGGGCCGATAGATTATGGGTAAGACGGGGGTGGGGGAGGATTTGACAGGGGCCGATAGATTAGGGATAAGACTGGGGTGGGGGAGGATTTGACAGGGGCCGATAGATTAGGGGTAAGACTGGGGTGGGGGAGGATTTGACAGGGGCTGATAGATTAGGGATAAGACTGGGGTGGGGGAGGATTTGACAGGGGCCGATAGATTAGGGGTAAGACTGGGGTGGGGGAGGATTTGACAGGGGCCGATAGATTAGGGGTAAGACTGGGGTGGGGGAGGATTTGACAGGGGCCGATAGATTATGGGTAAGACTGGGGTGGGGGAGGATTTGACAGGGACAGCTAGATTAGGCGTAAGACGTGCTGAAGCACGGGCAGTGGAAGGATTTGACAGGGTAACCCTGAACAAATGTAAAACTTGGTTTGGGGAGGATGTAACAGGGGCAGCTACAGCAGATCTGAGGAAACATTAGAAGAGTGGATAGGGCAACTAGATTTAGTGTAAGTCTGAGGGGGGAAGGGTCAGTTTCTCGGCCAGGGGATAGTAGTGATGGCTATGGAGAGGAGATGTAAGCCAATGTATCGAGAGGTGTTGTCTTGAAAAAACTTGTTCTCTATATCGAAGAGACGTCTAGAATTTTCTATGCAATAGGGGCTTACAGGTTTCACATTGTACAGACAATATTTAGGTAAAGTTAAGAGTGACCTTGTATGTCCATCTTTAATACACATTTGCAGAAATCATGTTGAGATGAGAAAAGCTAATGCTTTGTGTTATTTTTTTCACATAAACGATTACCATTGATATTATAGTATTATAAAAATGACACTGACTTGAATTCATATTTTGCAGCGGAGGTGGGGGACTACGAGGCGGAGGATCATCCCCCAGGTTACGTAACAGAGTTCAAAATGTTACCCAAACAGAACCCAAAGACTGAAGAACAAATCATGGAGCTCCACAAAACCCTGAGGTGGGTTAATAGGGCATAACATTAGTCTCTAAGAATAATTCTTAGATCATGGTTGTTAAACAAACCAATGATAGTTCATAGTTCTATGTTCTTGTTAAAATAAAAATAGAGCTTAGCGTTACATGAAAAAAACTTTCCTGAAATGTAATTAGTTTGAAAATGAAATAATTATGAACTGTTAATAGTTGTATTGAACAGTTTTATGTACATGTGTTGTATACTAACTGTAGTGGGCAGGTCCCAGCCGAGGCTGAAGGTAACTTCCTCAAGAAGGCGGCTTCCTTGGATACGTACGGCGTTGACCCCCACCAGGTCAAGGTCAGTATATGTCGCGTACATGATATCTAGGCTCAAGATTTTTTTCTCTATATTGAAGCAATTTTAAGTCTTTCTTCTAATAGGTTAAGAAATAATTTTTCATCAAATGTGACAGAATTTCTGTATGTGGCAAATTCTCTCTTTATGGAAATATTGATAAAAACAATATGTTGACAGATGAGGTTCTGTGTACTTATGTCTGTGAACCACTATAACATGTAATGGCTATCAATCAATGGTTCAGAAGGTGGTCCAGTGACAGGTGTTATTTTGAGTGATTCCTCCCACGACTGAGTGCTCTTTGTTAACAGGACCACAAAGGTACACAGTTTTACCTGGGCGTCACACACCAAGGCATCATGACCTTCTACGGCAGTCGGCGCACACAGCTGTACAAATGGCAAGTCACCTATAGCGACCACACGATTCATTTGCTGCTTACTTTTTATACCCCCCACTTAGTCGAGAGGGAGTGGGAGGGTTTTATAATAGTAACCACTTTGTTAGTGTATCCCTGCATCTATAGTAAAATGCCTAAGCACCTATCTCATGAATCCCTCATCAGATTTAGTTGATATTCACACCTTATTGTCGTTAAATATAGAACTTGGTTAGATTTTGGTGGTCATCAGTCAAGGTCAAATGTTACACTAAACCACGTTTGAAGTGAAATCCTTATGTAACTATGTAGTAATTAGGGATGGTGGGGCGAAGGTTTATCTTTAATTTACTGGTAGGCCATTACATCTTAAAATCCCTCTTACTTGGTGATGCTTTGAGGATATTGTGATTGAATGCCCTCTTGTCATATCATATTTGAGGTAAATACTTGGAATTATTAGTTAAAAAAACACTGTTGGAGTCCCATAATATGTTGGTTGTAATATCACAATTATTGATTTACAGATTTAAAAATATACCTTTGAAGTTTAATATTTAATATTTAAACTATACAGAATCTGAATGAATATATATTTACATGTAAATGATTTTGTGTTGGTTAGGTAACTTGTGCAGACTTTGTTCTTATATCAAAACTTACCTCCCTTTTCAGGAATCAGATCCGCAGGATTGCGTACGAGGGCAAGATGTTTATAGTCCATGTCAGCATCGCAGAGGTTTGTCCCTATAAAATGAATCCAAAAATAATCCTGACATTTTTCTGCATGTCTGTCCTTTGATGAGATGAAGTTATGATCTAGCTAGGCTGATGATACTAGTATTACCCGTGTAATATGCTCACGTTCCTTCCTCTATATGAATGAGCCTGTACCTCTATGATTTCAGAAAACGTTCTTCTTTTTCACTAACATCTTTTGAAATTTTTAATCAATCATATATCAAAATTTGTGTAAATTATGTTTCTGTTGTCATGGTTTTTTCTGTAATTGTTGCTTGATTCAAATGTAGAATATTTTTGAGGGTATGATTTGATTAATGTCAAACAAAGAAATCGAGGGATGTCACGTATGTCAGTGTTAACTGATAAATCACAATTTCTATCGAAAAGGTCTTAAACCTTTTGCAAATGCAGAGTTGCGGAAATGTGTTTCTAAAGACGTTTTTATTAAATTTGTGATACTTAATCTTTTGCAAATGCAGAGTTGCGGAAATGTGTTTCTAAAAATGTTTTTTTTATTTTGTGATACTAAAATCTCCATACAATTTACATATAAAATTCACAAAACAGATTTAAGAGGACCGAAAGTTGACCCACTATGCTTTAGTTGTTATGCATTTTAAAACTATGATTTAAATATTTAATGACCACCGTTATCGTAACATAACAGATTTATTGAAGACCACTGACATTTGAGAGACCCTGCGGTAGTGTTTGATGTTAGTCTTTAGTTGAATGTATCCTAACCCAGGCTCTTTACGCCTTTGCGTTAATTTTCATAGGATGAAGATACGACTAATACAAAGAAGGTAATACTTGGGAGTGGTTATATTTCTCCCATCATTTATATACTGTGCCGTCGTTACATGCTTATGTTTATTATGAAATATTTAAATGTAACCAGCTTCATGATTGGTTCATTGTCAGCCAATGATATTTGAGCTTACATTTGAATCATTATCATGACTGGTTACTTGCATGCAGTATACATACCTTCCCTTTAATATACAATTTGAGAATCCAATACATTTGCTTGCTTGCAGTTTAAAAGAAGCCAATTGGCAGTTAGTTATACCTGCATGTAGATTAGACTTTTTTTATGGAAATATTTTTCAACCTTTTCCATGTCAACCTTTGTTGTTTTACTAAATGTGACAGTGTGCTGTTAAGTCATGGTGTGTTTTCTACATTTGTGTGGGGGGTTATCCTGCATGTGTGAAGATGTGTGTTTTCTCACTTTTGTGGGTTATCCTGTGTGAAGATGTGTGTTTCCTCACTTTTGTGGGTTATTCTGTGTGAAGATGTGTGTTTCTGCACTTCTGTGGGTTATCCTATGTGAAGGTGTGTGTTTCTGCACTTCTGTGGGTTATCCTGTGTGAAGATGTGTGTTTCTGCACTTCTGTGGGTTATCCTGTGTGAAGGTGTGTGTTTCTGCACTACTGTGGGGTATCCTGTGTGAAGGTGTGTGTTTCTGCACTTTTGTCGGTTATCCTGTGTGAAGGTGTGTGTGTGGGTTATCCTGTGTGAAGATGTGTGTGTAGGTTATCCTGTGTGAAGGTGTGTGTTTCTGCACTTTTGTGGGTTATCCTGTGTGAAGGTGTGTGTGTGGGTTATCCTGTGTGAAGATGTGTGTGTAGGTTATCCTGTGTGAAGATGTGTGTTTCCTCACTTTTGTGGGTTATCCTATGTGAAGGTGTGTGTTTCTGTGTTTGCATGGATTGTCCTATATCCGAGTATATGTTTCGGCCTTTGTGTAGTTTATCCTGCATGTGTGAAGGAGTGTTTCTGTGTGGACTGCCCTCTACCAGGAGGTGTTTTCCTGGATTTATACCAGTTATCCTGTGCAATAGTGTGTACTGAGGGGGTATTTTTTACCTTCCTGTTAGTGTGTGTTGTATCACCGGGGAACTTTTGGTCCAAATTTTGAGAGAAATATTTTCACGTATTGTCATTTAGGTGGTCTGAAAAATTTGCACTGAAGCTATATGCTTGCCCTCCAAAACTATATAAGCTAGCACCCAACGATTGTTAGGATTTTCCTATGTCAGGGTGTTTGCTGAGATACACCAGTGTGTAACAGATCTGTATTGTATATCTGTGATAAGTCTACGGATTATAACATACCTGATATTATATAAGGGTCCAATTTCCATTGTTCATTTTAATCTCTTTAAAAGAACCTATGTGTCCTTCCAACAGCTTATCACAGGTATAATAGTGCTCCACTTAGAACGATGTGTAGGTATACATGTTAGTTAGCCCATTATTCTTCATCCTCAAAATGCCAGGGATTAACTCATTCACCCCTGAAGATACATTTGAACTCCTTCAATTCAAAGGTTAGAATAATTCATTATGAAATTTCAGGGGTGAATGAGTTTAGCTCATTTATGTTCTCTGCACCCCTGAAATATGTCATGGCAAAGTCAAAGGCACATGTTTAGCACATTGATTGGTTTTAGGTAAAAAAAAAACACACCATTTTACCATTACATGCAAGTTCTTTGATGTATATCAAAGGATCAACCTAGTTAGTTGCATCATATACAGAGCTTTCAGTATCGTCATGATATATTCCAGTGTTGAGGAAATGTTACAGTACAACCCCTTGAATTTTGAGGATTAATATGCATAAATATAACAACCCTTTGTTCATGGATATCAGTACCCAGTAATTATATATGATTTTACCCATTTACCCCTAAAGTCACATTTGAACCTTCCATTATCAAAGACTGGGCAAGTCCAGTTTTAAAAACATAGGGGTCAATGAGTTAAAGATATCATCATGGACGGAAGGGATTTTACAGAGTTTACTATAGTAAGGGACATTGTATCAGATTGTCTTCCCACTTTCCTTAACCACTGTTACTGTGCAGCATTCCATAGCATTAGTGACATCTTATCTATAATGATGATGTCAGAACACTTGATAATATTTGTAATTGTATTTTGAAACGTCAATGCATGTGTCTACAACTGGGCTCTACTTGGCTTAATTTTTGAAGGAAAATTGAGTGAGACTTTGATTCAATTTTCAAATTTTATATCATGTATGCCTATGAAAGTAAATCAGGAACAACATATAGTCAGTATATATTGCAATGTTCAAAATTCGAGGTCAGTTACGTTAAAATGTCAAAGGCAAACTGACGAGGTCGCAGATATTGATGTTGATGGCTCAGATGACAGCTACATACATTACCAGGAAGTGGTTTCTTATCACTTTTTATAGATAATAGGACTAGAAGAACATGAGTCTATGATAATGTTAAACAATAGTTTATGTAAGTGTTAACATACCTATCCACAGTGTGTGATAAATTACAATCCCACAAGGTCTATATGCACATTATCTGTATATCCTCGCCCAGGTCCATTTGGACAACACATTTTCTATTATCTTATACATTTCTCTAATTTGTAATTTTTTATAAGCCTGTCAAAGTTTACGACAAGACCTATTATTGTCTGTTCTCACAATGTCTGCTTGTCTGTGTTTTGTCCGTTTCCCTGACTGGCAGGCATACACTGGAGTTGGGTTTATTACATATGCCTTTTTTTCCGCTTGGAAATTTCATATTCAATCTGTGTGTTGACTATCATTGCATATCGTGAAAAGTTTGTTGTAATGTTGTTGTGCCATATACTTCGTATATCTACAGTGATACTTTTTGTATGAATTTATTATGCATGGTATTTCATGTGACAAAATGAAAAGTAACGTTTTAGTTGAAAATAATCAAATGTTTTTATTACCCTGCATAACAGTTAATTGTGTCTAATGCAGCAATTTGATTGATCGATTGATCACAAAAAGATATATCGTATTTAGCTGTAAGCCAATAGATATAGCATAGTCCACAATATAGGCCAGAATAACCATTAAAAGGAACTCTTTCTGAGTTGAGAAGCACATGCTAATGTAATTTTGATATTTAGGCTCAGACGATGGATTCCTACCTTTGTACCAATGCAGGAAACATGGACGAAGATGTAACCTTGAGATTTTTTTTTATTTATATTTATTTTAATTACCACCAACAAGATTCCATAGCATTATTATCCAGATACCACTGACCTTTGACCCCACAATCTTTACTCCTGACCTCTGAACCTTGCCCCTTTGACTCCATGATATATCTGGTTCAGGGTAAATAATCGGTATTGTGGCTGGGAGCATGAATGGATCCATACCCCTTTGACTCGATGATATATCTGGTTCAGGGTAAATAGTCGGTATTGTGGATGGGAGCATGAATGGATCCATACCCCTTTGACTCCATGATATATCTGGTTCAGGGTAAATAGTCGGTATTGTGGATGGGAGCATGAATGGATCCATATTAGTTTCTATGAAATCTTAGCCTAAGGTTGTAAGTCTTTTGCATACAATGTGCTTTTATAAAGGCAAATATTTTAAAGCAGCTCAAATTTTTATTTTGAATGTTTGGAATTTGGGAAATTTTATAATGTTGAAAAATAAATATTTTGTATTGTCAATACTAAAACTGTACGACCTTAGAGGCTGATGTAGGAAAGTTCTCTTCACTTCGTGAGACAAGTGGGTATTAATAATGGTTACAATGTTTCATTTCCAATTTGTAAGGGGAGATAACAAAGTGAAATTTTACTAATGAAAACCTGGGGTAAGCATGCATGATGGACCGGAATTCTTCATCTTTCAGTGACTGACATTACGACTAGAGTTTGTGTCAGCCGACTTCATTCCAGTCTTATTTATATCTTTGTCAACACTCACAGACTTTATCCACTTAAATCCAGACACTGCCCAAACAGCTGAAGAAAAGTCCCAGTCACTGCCCAAACAGCTGAAGAAATTAGTCCCAGTCATTGTTTATAACATTAGAGATGGTCTGTTCTATTTGTCAGAATGAGCAATTTTTAGCTCACCTGGTCTTGTATAAGGTACATATAATGTTACTTAGCAATTTTAGAAAATTCAGCAAAAATTAAGTATTGAACTATTAAATATTTGGAGATGTTGTATCAAAATTCACATATTCAAATGACAAGTCAGTGTTGGTTTGAGCATAGCTGAGAAGTGGTTCGTTTTTTTTGGGAACTCTGATCATCAATTAATGTCATTCTTCATTCAATAATAGAAGAATTACTTTTGAAAAGCAAAGCTTCTGCCGGTGTTGCATATTAAAACACAAAGAAGACATATCAGAAAAAAAAGTGTTCCATAATAATGGGTCATCTCTTCATTTCTGGGTGAATTGTATTTGAAGGCCAAGTCCTTTGATACAGGGTTTTATCCTTAGAGACAGGATTTTGTCCTTAGAGACAGGGTTTTATCCTTAGAAACAGGGTTTTGTCCTTAGAGACAGGGTTTTATCCTTAGAGACAGGGTTTTGTCCTTAGAGACAGGGTTTCGTTACTTGAGCTAAATGAATTACCAGCAGTAGGTTTGGTTATAGACTTATTTGTTCTCATTCTCCCTTGCTTTCTTGGATGTGGAATACCAACAGTCAAGGATAAAGGTATTTAAGCTTCTCTCTCACACAGATGCATGTTCCTTGCTTTTCAATTTTCCTATAACTTATAATGTTTCCTGTAAAATCATTTTTTAACATAATGGACTCAATGTTTGAAATATATTTGGACGTTCCCTAACAGAGTTCAATAAGGAAGGAAAAAATAAACTCATGATACAGTGCTTTCTTATTCTTTTTGTATAAATCCCTGTGAAGACCTTGATCATTTTGTCAGCCTAAATTTGAATCATGCGTGACAATATTGCCATAACTGCTTGAAACAGTGTTTTTGTGAGAAGATTTTATTTTTTTATGATTGCTTTCAAAGAGTCTTTTTCTTTAGCTATATATTAAGTTCAAGTGAATTTAATGGGCAGTTTGGGAAAACATTCTTTGCAGCTTTGCTTTGATTGCGTGAGAGAATATCTTTATAACGTCATCCTTGAAAACGTTACTGCAGTGTGATTGACGTTTCATGCACAAACAATTCCTATGAAGTTAAAAAGTTTAAAGACTGAAGTTTCGCAATATTTGGCAAATTTCCCAAAAGGATATAGAATTACAATGTATTTGTACCAAATGCTGGGTTGGTTTATATGAGTTCTTGTGCTGTTCATTCAATACAATATTTCAATAAGATGTACAGTGTTAAATATTGAACAATGAAGACAATGTTTGTTCTTTTGAAAGGGATTTAGTCTGATCAAGGTATCAATATTATTAAAAAATTATTTCTTTACAATTTTATATATTTATTGCACGATGCATTATTTATCTCTATCTGTGTTTTGTAATTATAATTCGGGTTCCCATCCTCACTCCCATTTCTTTATACACTGGAAAGTTCTAAATTGGGATAGATTCTTGTCACATTTGGGGTTGTAGGGTCAATACATAATTGCACAAACTGGAAAATGTTTTCATTTTGTACAAAACTAAAAGGTTGGATATTCGCATCTTTGATTTTGTTTACTGACTTTCCCCTGAGTCTGTTAAGCCCAGGATGTCTATTCCTTAGAAAACCAATCAAATATGGGTGCCTGGCTCTAAATATCAGCTGTATATCAAAATTAACTTATATCCTGAAAGAATCTATTTGTCAAGGCAGACAGCATACTATAGGACATGTATGGGCATATCGGTGGCTGAATGGGGCAATCACCCTAGATATTTGGGGTAGATGAAGATACACATGCTGATCTGTCAGGGAATACTTACCACAACTCAGAAATACAGTTGGGGTCATCGATCTTCACTATAAAAAATAACTCAACACGTAGCATTTCCTGGAGGCTTTGGAGAGAAGTTCATTCAAATTGGTCTTGGTCCAAAGTAAATAATGTCCTCAATTTTAAAAAATGACGGTGGTCCACTTTGATTAATGTCTCGATATAAATATATGTTTACCAGTAAGAGGTCAAATATTGATTTTTTATACTCTATGTAAGAAGGCTGATGTGCACTTGATATAGAGTCGTTGAGTCGAAATGTCTGATTTTTCAGATTTCACTTCAGACATATTATCTGTTGATCCACTAGGAGTTCATATATTTTATGATACTGTCTCCCAAAATAAAGCTTCATCTAGCACAAAAATTGAATGTTTCTCTGGCAGGAAAGTAGTTGTCACAAATTTTGGGATCATCTTACCTAACTGTAACTGAGAATAAATGGTCTTTTAAAAAAAAAAATGGATGTAGGAAACAGAGTTGATTAGAATTTTATATAACTACTTTCCTCTTGGTGAACTGAAAATTTCAGGCATGTTGCAATTGTAATCACATTTTGAGAGCTGTTTTGTTATTCAATAGTAAAATTTGTAAATTGGGGAACTTGGGGAAAATCTATTATTCGGATAATTAATTGCATTTCTTTTTGGTTAAAATGGGAATTTGAAATTCTGCTTACTTTAGGAGCTTAACCCACATACTGGCCTTAAAAAAATCCACAATGAGGATATTTTTTTGGCAAGCTTGAATATGGCATCATTAAAACCAATGTAATCCTATGCACAGCTAAGGCCAAACCATTACATTTATTTTCACCTGACTTAACACCTACAGCAGAAAGCATGTTTACCTTCTGCACCAAAGACTTGACTGGGATTTACTGGAGGGGGCTAGTACGTGTACTAGTCCCATCTTTATACGTTTTGTATCACTAAGTTACATGATTAGAGGTAACTCCATACTCGGAACTCCTAGTTTTATGCTCACTGACGTCCTCTGCATCACTGGAATATGTCCTCACAAAATTGGAGGCACTCAGCTAGCTATTTGATTGGTGTCGGGTGAAAAAAATCTGACCAATTGATAGGCTGATACCTGTCCTTTGTAGATTACAGAGGAGCGACATATCCTACATAAAAGCCTGTCAATTTTACTGTTGCACTGCTTTCTTTTAATGTACATCAAAGGATCAAAATAGTCTACTTGTATTGTCCACAAGGTTGCGTAAACAGAACCTTCAGTTTAGTCATGACATATTCCAGAGGTGCAGAAAGTGCAACCCCTGGAATTTTAAGGATGGTGGGTAACTCTTGGTGAGGTCTTTTATAACTTGGGTATCAACTCGCGTTTAATTTTACTTTTATTTTTCTTTCTTAAAAAAAAACATTCTTTTAATGAGTCAAATTATTCAGATATGAATATGAGTTTTACAAGAAATGAATGATAAGTATGTATAAGATATTTACATTGTATTATATTTGATTGGATGAGAAAAAAATGGTTGAGATTGTTATGAAATATTTTCTCTTGTGAATTCAGACCAAATTTATTATGAAGGAATCATCTGATTTTGTGTCAGTTTTTATTTTTGAAAGGTTTTAAACGGCTATCATTGATGCAGTGTTTGTGTGATAAATGTCACAGATAAGTAAAGACGGAGTATTGTTCTAAACTGTGATTTACGCTTGGTTATAAATCACCCAACATAAACCCTAGTTTTAGTACTACATTAAGTTAGTACTTTGTTGTTGTGGAGTTTTATCTCTATTTCAGTCCGACTCGTTAATAAATAAATTTGTGTTTCAGAGATACCAATGCTATATGATTGTAATTGGTATTGATGCATGCTATGATTAAAAACAGTACAATTTCATTGGGTTTTTTCCCAGTATTGAAATTGCTATTGATATAAATTTTACATGTGAATACTGTAGAGGATTGTCAAGCTTTTAGTTAACAAATGAAGAGAAACAGAATCTAATATCGGACAGAATTTATGGTAGAAAGCATTGGCGCCGTGCCATTTTAACTTTTAACTAATGTCCTGATTCTGATGATAAAGGATAATGTTAGAACCGTAGAGAACAAAATTATTGATTGTACAATTTCATCGATCAAGTTTTATATCCGAGTGCCATTAGTCCACCCCCGACAGTGGCATTGGTCTCTGTCAAACTTCCGGGGATGTGATCAATGAAATGATAACTTTATAATAAAATACTAATCACTTTGATTGATTTATAATAATTAACAGAAGCAACAGCCGATCGGCTACAAGTGCCAGACCGTGGGAGCGTGTAAATACCTGTGGAGGTGTGCGGTGGAGCAGCAGTTATTTTTCACGTAAATATCGACACTTTTATTCACTTTTTTACGAGGGCACCTTAGCCTCTCTTTCCTGTTTCTGTTATAAAAACATAAATTTTGGAAAGCAATGAGTGTAGTAACAATTTCGTTTTTTACCAAGTGGATGGTGGAGTTTTTGATTGATTTATTACACTCCACATAGAAATTTAAAACTTGTCATGTAGTTGGTATACCTTCTAAAAAGCTTTGCACTATGTTTTTATGTAGAATAACGGATATTTTTACTGGAATTTAAGCCAAGTACATTCTAAAAGCTCTCTTAGAGTGCAGGATGGAAAATGGATTCATATTGGCGTGGGGGG